TATGCAGAACAATCTTTTATAGTTGAGTGACCATATATAAAAGAATTCCATTAGTGCATTTGATCTTTTACTCAAATATCGCCTTGTAGTAACCAATACTTCCTACCATTGGAAACACAATACATTTTTCAAACTATTTATACGTCTGAAAGTGAAATTGTAGCACTTGTAAGACAATATTATTTTACAAGGTGATCTTATAGGATAAATTATAATACAACACCAGTAATTTCTGTAAATTATAGCTTCATGTACCTTAAATCACAGTTGTCAATTTTATTTCTGTAAAATATTTATCATACATGTTTTCACAAAGATTAATTCGCTCCTTGTTAAACAAAATTATTTTATTTTGGTGTAAATGCGTGTCGTTTTTAATGAATCATAAATAGGCAGCTGATTTTCGTGAAACCGAAAAAATTTCATCCTTCTGTTAATAACAGAATATATTTACAAACATTTTTCCTGTTTCCACATTGATCTACCTATTTTTGTCCCGAATACGTAAAATTCATAATCTAACTATAAGTAACATATTGCGAAACAAATTTTCTACAATAATAGTCACCAATGTAATATAAATTTTAGCGAAGAAGTAACATTTGTTTCTCTGCGAAAACAATCTACATAAATTGTTATCATAAACTACTGCGACGAAAATAATCTGTCGCCAAGAAAAATCGATATAAAAGTGTCATATTTCTATCCTTCACATTCTACTCGTTTCTCGTAATTTTGTAGATAGCATAGGACATTGAGCGTCTCATCTTACTGTAAGGAAATCAACATATTCGAGCATGAGCGCGGCAGTCGAGTTTAATGGCAACGGAGGCAAGGATAACAGAACGAGAAAGACCGAAAGCAACCGAATGTGAGCTTACGTTATACGTACAAGGTGCGTAGAATTTCGCGGGTAAACAAGATAAAAGACTCGTGAAATGACTAAATGATGTCAGATCTGCCACGGATCGGTGTGGCTCGATTAAGACTTGTCTCCCTCCCTCATCTTCCCCTTCTACGAAGCTGTTCCCCCATCTTCCGACTGCGAGCATCCCCACTTCTCGCTCGCAAGCGCACGACACAACGATGTAACTACACATATTCTTTTCCACAACATCCTGCAATGCCATATCACCTTGCCTCGAAACAAAATGTAAGTGTGTGTGTAATATATTAAAATTCATTTTATTCATATTAGTTGCCATGGTCTTGCAATCATGTCATGTCTGCCGTTCTCCATCATGTAATGTGCCATTGATCAAGCCACACGACCGTGCAATGTGTCAAAATCGCGACGGAAATTGGCGACCAAGGCTCGGGATATGGCCAGTAATGGGGACAACACTGGCATCAAAGCACATGCTATATGCTACACGACGGCCAACGCCATGTGACGTTCAGATTAGCAGCTGGTACGAAAAAAAGGCCGTTCACGCTTCGGTCGTCCAGTTCCACGATTCACGATCTTCACATCGTGTAGCACAGGCCAAAGGTGCTATCCTCAACAATATCCCCACCATGAACCAGCGTCGCCGGTTTCCATCGAGATCTCAAACGGGCACGCTGCTGCCACTGACTCACTCTATGTCAGTTCGTTGGTGAACACTGTCTCTGAGGACATTAACTCAGAGCCACTGGTAAACGGACCGTCCAAGTAACTGTGCCGCGAATTGATAACACAGGTTCTATCGCGGAAGCAGATAGCGTTGAAAATCAGTCACCAGCTGCGCAGAAATAAACCGGAAACAGTCAAGTAAATCGAAACCGTCACCATGGTAGACGCATGGTCGCTGACCTTGGCGCTGTGCGTGGCAGGATTGGCGGCACTCTATTACTATCTAAGAGGAGTGTTAAGTTATTTTCGTGTTCGCGGAATCCCGGAGGTGAACTACTCCCCGATCATAGAACTAATTAAGCTGATTTTCGGAAGGACCACGGTTGCCGACATGGCATTGAAAATGTACGGATCATCGCATCCGGACGCGAAGTATGTAGGCTCCTTCGATATTTTTACACCGGCGTTCGTGATTCGTGATATCGAGCTGCTTAAGTCCATCATGGTGAAGAATTTCGAGCACTTCCAGGACCACAGACTGTTCGTAGCCACCTCGAAGGAGCCCCTGTTCAACAAGAATCTGCTCGGCCTGACAGGGGAGCGATGGAAAGAGGTGCGCAACTTATTGAGCCCCGCTTTCACGTCCAGCAAGATGAAGGCGATGTTCAAGCTGATGCGCGAGTGCGGAGACAGATACGGAAACTACTTTGCGACGCTGCCAGAGAATGGTAGGTCCGTAGAGCTGAAGGACGCCTTCACCAGGTACACCAACGACGTGATCGGCACGTGTGCATTCGGCGTAAATGTGGACTCGATAGCGGATCGTCACAACAAGTTCTATGTATACGGCAGAACTGCGACTAACTTTTCTGGATTGGCATTGGTGAAGATGTTCATGGAACGCTTTGCTCCAAGCCTAACTACATTGCTGGGTATAAAGGTGTTGGATCCGGCGATCAGCGGTTTCTTCAGAGATTTGGTAGCGACTACTATCGAAACGAGGGATGAACAGGGCATCGTGCGGCCGGACATGATACAGTTGATGATGGAGACCAGGGGGAAGTTGGGTCCAGGAAAAGAACTCACGATAGAAGACATGACCGCGCAAGCATTCATTTTCTTCGTTGGTGGATTCGACAGCACGTCGGTCTTGATGTGCTTCGCCGCCTACGAGATAGGTGTAAACCCGGAGATCCAGAAGAGGTTGCAGGAGGAGATCGACGAGGTATTGGAGAGTAACAACGGCGAGGTGACCTACGAGGCGATCAACGACATGAAGTATTTAGACGCTGTTATAAACGAAGCACTCAGGATGTATCCTGCAATAGTTGTCACTGACAGAATTTGTACGAAACCGTTCGAGCTGCCACCAGCTTTGCCAGATTCGAAATCACATATCGTTGAGAAGGGCACTCTCCTTACCATTCCGATCTATGGGATTCAGCACGATCCTCAATACTTCGACGAACCGTCCAAGTTCAATCCCGAACGATTTCTCGACGATCCAAAGAAGACTTTGAATTCGGGGACGTTTCTGACCTTCGGTTTGGGCCCGAGGATGTGCATCGGCAACAGGTTCGCGCTTCTGGAGACCAAGGTTCTGCTGTTTAACTTGTTCGCACGCTGCAATTTAAAAGCCAATTCGAAAACTACGATTCCGATGAAACTGACCATGTCAGGATTCATGATCTCGTGCAAAGGTGGATTTTGGTTCGATATTGAGCCGAGGAAAGTCGCTGCGCCTGTTCCCGTCACCCCTATTTCCAGTGGAAGTGCTATTAATTAGAAAAATGGTACTGCTGGAGATTCGTTAATTATGTATTTTCATCGATTTTATATTTTTCTTTACATAGATTGCACGCTTAATTTATTATAATCTATATCGTTCGGATTATTGATGTAAGACTGAAACTGGTATATTTATAATTCTTTTGGATGTAAAAGCGCATACTTGGAAAGCAACGGTGTTCTTTTAATTCTTATTCTTATATTTCGTGATATACAAGTTCGATGATTAGAAGACTGTGACGATGTTCAACGAATTTCATGTTAAATTCAGTATGTTAATTCTTGTTGATTGTGGAAAGATATAATATTGATCTTTGGCTATTACATTAACAAAAATTTATATTCAGAATGATCATGCGAATATTAATGAGTTTACAGGCTTTTGTGTGTCAAACGTACACATGAATATTTTAACGTAATTGAGTAATCTATTCACAAGTGCGTTGAAATTGTGACAGCTTATTATTACAGTGCTATTACCTAAAATATCCTGCGTTGAAAATATTAGGACTTTGCAACTTACATGTAAATTACCGAGATCATCAAAATGTATTGTTTAAATGTTTGTTATAGGTTCAGATAAAAAAGTTGAGAATCGTTAGTTTTCAATTTTTCTATCATTTTAAGTAATAGCAATATTTAAAAAGAAGTACTTTAGTCATTGTATAATAATCTAGTCCTCCTAATATCTCCAAAAAAATCAAGCCATTCGTAAATGTTAGAAAGTTTTAAATGTGTCCGAATACTTTTGTCCCCCCAGTGTATATCGTTTCATTATCAACATTTTTACGATGAATAAATGGTTCACTATCGTTTATGTAATACTATCCAATTCGTTTAATACTGTTTCGTATATTCGTAACTAGAATAATGTTACTGTAAGGTGACCAGTTGCAATGCCTCTTTACCGAAAGATGTAAAAATTAAGTATTATATAACTTCTATTTTCACGAATTTTAAATTTTAACAGACTATAACAACGTCTACTGATTTCAAGTACCATTCAGTTAGTATGGTTTCTGATCATCCCACAGTGACATATTCCGTTGATTTAGACTTTAGATGGCCTATATTTCCTCATTCGAAGATATTTCATTTTCATCCAAAGAAACGTTTCCTTCGTCATTTGTATCATTTTTGGTTTTACTGGATGGTAGAAGCATTTCTAATGTTTCTTTTGTAAATAGTTTGGTACTTCGAATATTCCCTTAAGCCACTCGTAATTTTTTTAACAAAAATATTTGCTCTCACACGTGATACAGCCTAATGTTCTTTAGCTTTCTTAATATAAATGCAGTTTCTGTTGAAATATGTCATACATATATACACATTTATCACTTTCAGGATGATCCACAATTTGAGGTTTATAAAAATGTTCTCTAAAAAAAAGTAATCAGTTAAAGAGTTTGCAGTCGTACAAAACACTAACCGAATACACGTTCGCTCCTCATTGCGGTCGAGTTTTGATTACAATGAATTCTACAAAACTGCACTTTAGCCAGCTAGATACCCCGCTGTACGATCATACGCGTCATCGTTTTGAGATAATGAACGAGACGTCATACAGTTTATCTTATTATAAAGAATTAAAGCACGCAGGAAGGATAAAACGAAGGAAGGACATTCCGATCGTCACCTACGAGTTCTGGGTGAACGTGATATATTCGATGGTTGATCGTAACAAGTTCTACGTCTACGGAAAAACCGCTACCAACTTCGGCAAATGACAGATGCTCAAGTTCTTCTTAATACGCAGTGCTCCCTGGATTTTCAAATTGACCGGCATGAAACTGTTTGATCAGATGTTCGCCAAATTTTTCACGGAGCTGATAAGAAACACCATCAAGACCCCCTGTTCTCGTTAACTCTGTTAGCAATGGCAGTGCTATCGATTTCTGTTATCGTTATCGCCAGGGCTTTGTTGATAACGATTTTATATTATTAAAATGTTTACATTAATGTTCGTACATCGTTTCATCCGAGGCTTGAAGGACAATCTTTTTTCATTCATTGTAATTTATAAGTTGCCCGTATCCGAACCTGTATTCTTTAAAAGCAACTGTATTGTTTCATTTTTCTATTGCATTATTTTTCAATATATACATCGTTCATAGAAATATATTATGTTAGTATTCATTGATTTTTGGCGATCATGAATGCAGAGCTTTATTTTCAGGACAAATTCACAAGCATAAATAAGTTTTTGGTCTTTATGTAAAGTAGAAGGTAGTAAGTATAATAAAAGTGAATAAATTGAAACTATGGTAAATACTGTATCCGGATCGTGAATATTATGTATTCAATGTAGCAGTAAAAAGATTATTAAAACATTTCAAAAGGTTTCATCTCATTTTCACAACTTATTGAAATTATTCAAGAAACAGATTTCTATTTGGTCCTAGTTTCTTATTGTTGATGCAACAAATGTTTATTTCACGATATGTAATTATCATTTTTGATTCATTTGACATTGTGAAAGCATCAAGTATAAATTGTCTCTACTTTATATCAGTCATTAATTGTGCGTTACTTCTTGCGTCTATTTATAGCGGTAGCCTGAGCACGACTCGCAAAATACAGACTTCAACATCGTTCATCGTTTACACTGCTTCGGGAACGTTACTTGCGAAGGAAACCAAAACTGCAAACGGTAGGTAAGTTCAGAGTGTTAATTTCATTCTAACCATTAATGATTTTTCGACGCTTGCGTGGTGTTCAAGTAATTATTACTGTATATAATATTACATACAGTAACAATTATCACGTAAAGTCATCAAAAATGATCATCGAGTTATACGCGGCTCTATCAAAGAATTACAAAAATATAACAAGTAAGCAGTTTAAAAATCATTTGAGGTCTAACTGTACTTTACGTTGACAAACATCGACACGAAAGTGTCTGTTCTGTCCAGCACATTCTACTTGTGTCTCGTAATTTTTAGATAACGAAAGGGACGCCGCGCATTTCATCTTATTACGAAGGAGTCAGCACTTTCGAGCATAGAATACGAGTTTAATGGCGACACAGACAAGGATAATAGAACGGGAAAGAACGAAAGCAACCGAATTCTGGCGTGTTTGAAACACAGAATACGCGTGGAATATCGTGGAGAAGGAAGATAAAAGCTGCGCAAAGTGAACGAATAACGCCAGTTCTGTGAGAGAGCGTCCGACAGAACGTTCGCTGGTGAATACTGTCTTTGAGAATATTAACACGGCGTCGGCTTGCATAGCATAGGCAATCGGCGAATAACAGTGTATAAATAAACCGAAACGGTGGAGTATATCGGAACGGTCACCATGGTGGACGTATGGGTGTTGACCTTGGCGCTGTGCGTCGTGCTCATCGCAGCACTTTATTACTATATGACAGGATTGTTACGTTATTTCCGTGACCGCGAAATCCCGGAGGTGAACAACTATGCGATCTTAGAGATAATAAAAGTAATTTTCCAAAGGATCACAGTCGCAGGTGTGGTATTGAAAATGTACCGATCACATCCAGACGCGAAGTATGTAGGCTCCTTCGATATGCTCACACCGGTGCTAACGATTCGCGATCTGGAGCTGATTAAGTCAATCACGGTGAAGAATTTCGAGCACTTCCAAGACCACAAGATGATCCTAGTCAGTTCGACGGAGCCTCTGTTCAACAAGAATTTGCTCGGCCTGACAGGGGACCGATGGAAAGAAGTGCGCAACTTGTTGAGCCCCGCGTTCACCTCCAGCAAGATGAAGGCGATGTTCACGCTGATGCGCGAGTGTGGAGATAGATACGGGAAGTACTTTGCGACGCTACCAGAGAATGGTAGGTCCGTAGAGCTGAAGGACGCCTTCACGAGGTATACGAACGACGTGATCGCCACCTGCTCTTTCGGTGTGAATGTGGACTCGATGGCCGATCGTGACAACAAGTTCTACGTCTACGGCAAAACTGCTACCACCTTTGGTGCATTGGAAATGCTGAAGTTCCTCGTGCAACGCACTGTTCCACGGCTAAGCTTATTCCTCGGAATAAGGGTGCTGTCTCCGGCGATTTGCTCTTTCTTCGAGAACCTAGTAGCGACTACAATCAAAACCAGGGACGAACAAGGCATCGTGCGGCCGGACATGATACAGTTGATGATGGAGACGAGGGGGAAGTTGGGTCCAGGAAAGGAACTCACGATAGAAGATATGACAGCGCAAGCATTCATTTTCTACCTTGGTGGATTCGAGAGCACTTCGATCTTAATGTGCTTCGCTGCCTACGAGATAGGTGTAAACCCGGAGATCCAGAAGAGGTTGCAGGAGGAGATCGACGAGGTATTGGAGAGTAACAACGGCGAGGTGACCTACGAGGCGATCAACGACATGAAGTATTTAGACGCTGTTATAAACGAAGCACTCAGGATGTATCCTGCAATAGTCGTCACTGACAGAGTTTGTACGAAACCGTTCGAGCTGCCACCAGCATTGCCAGGTTTGAAATCACATATCATTGAGAAAGACTGCCTCGTTTCCATTCCGATCTATGGGATTCAGCAGGATCCTCAATACTTCGACACGCCGACGAAGTTCAAGCCGGATCGGTTTCTCGACGATTCGAAGAAGATTCTGAATTCGGGGGCGTTTTTGAGCTTCGGCGCGGGACCGAGAATGTGCATCGGCAACAGATTTGCGCTTTTGGAGACCAAAGTTTTGTTGTTCAACTTATTTGCTCGTTGCAATTTGAAGCCCAATTCGAAAACAACCATTCCGATGAGGCTGAAAGGGTTCCAGATGACGTCCGCAGGTGGATTTTGGTTCGATATCGAGCCGAGAAAAGTCGCTGCTCCAGATCTCGTCACCTCTGATTGAAGTGAACGCGCTATTTGTTTGCAGAGTATATACAATATATTGTCGAAGATTCATGCAGTTTTTATTTTTACGGGTTATGTATTTTTGTTTACATAAATTAATGATTGCGTATCGATTTACCTGCGAATATAGCGGAAATTCAATTATAAATGAATGTTGAGTAATGCTGCATTATTGGAATATGTACTGTTT